TGAACTGACACTGGTGGAACATCGGACGATGAATCAGTAAAACAAAACACAAGGAAACTAACATGGGGTTCAAGTAATAAATTAAACTTTCTACATCGTTAACACAGTCAGCTGAACGGAAAGTGAGCAGAGCTTTCAACGTGGAAAGGATACAACACAAATGTAGTTTAAATGAGACGCAACAAAGAGTGTGGACTCTTCATCTCTCCAGAGTATTCAGCGCTAAGGCGTGTCTACGGGTGTTTTATTAAAAGTTTATATATATATATATATATATATATACATATATATATACATATATATATATATACATATACATATATATATATATATATATACATATATATATACATATATATATACATATATATATATATACATATACATATATATATATATATACATATACATATATATATGTATATATATATGTATATATATATATATATATATATATGTATATGTATATATAGTATATATAGTTAGAGTTATTTATTCTAGTATCATAACGTAACTAATCTCACAGTAAGTCTTGCAACTGTTTTTGTTCCTGATGTTAAAATACCTCCAAATTGCTGACCTTTCACCTGTCGAGATAAAAACACTGGCTCGACATGTTTCTGAGTAAAGTATCAAACCAAATCATTACAGTGGCCACTAAAGCGTATATAGATATGGCCTGTTTGAAGTTGGCTAGGATTGGTCCTCCTGTGGGAAGAACAAGCTGTAAAATGGCCGTCAGCACAATCATATCCAGAGTAGTGCATGAACTGTAGTTGTTGAAAACTGACCAAATCTACTGCCTCTGTGAGATGCATGTTCTTGAGACAAACAGCCCGGCAGAGGAAACAAATCAACGTCTCTTTAACAGGAAGAAAACTCAAAGTAAATTGTCCCTCCAAAGGACGGAGAAAAAAAAAAGTTTGGAGCCACTTTGTTCAGGACTTTCCCAGGAAAATTCCCCAACCTCCACGGGAAGTGATGAACTTTCTTTGTAGAGATTAAACCTACTGGGGAAAAAAAAAAAAAAAAAAAAAAAAAAGCCCTGAACACAATAACAGCACCAACGTAATCCATGGCAGAAACTGTAAACAAGCCATTTTTCTGTAGAGCAGGACAGAACGTCCTTGTTCGTATTGAGTCTAAAAAAAGTTGCCAAAATAAACAGAAGAAGTTCAATATTGGTTTATCCGGGCACCTCGGTGTGAGATGGGGAATGGGTCACGAATCCCTGTTAGCTAACACCCTGAGAGGTCACCCGGCAGACCTGCGGAGCTCACAGCCCACTGTGGAGGTTTCAACATTACAGACCTCAAACAAATGTTCGCCTACACCACCGCTGTAAACCTCAGTGGACATCGTCCGCAGGTCTTTAAGGACAGTACCAGGGACACTTCCTGCTTCTGGACCGGGTCACATATCAGAGGGGAAGTCGCCCTCGTTTCTAATGCCGAGATTCCACAGTGTTTATTTTCTCAATGAGAAATCGCGGGAGCGCTCTTTCCAGAGGAGATTGTGAAAGAGTAAAACAATACTTTCCCTTCTTCCTTTTTTTTTTTCTACTGTATCTCCTGTGGACTGACGCTCAAAGATCAGCAGAAAATCGTTTGTTTGTGTCTTTGGAAAGAACTGTGCGACTTTGAAAGGCCATGGGAGGGAAGGATTAAATTATACAGAAAGTCAGGATTCATTAGTCAAACTGTAAGCAAAACAATATCACAAAATTTGATAAAAAGTTTTTTTTTTTTACTGCAAACATGTGTCCTCTGGTAATTATTAGCTGTGACGCAACAAATATTTGGACTAATATTAACAAAATGTGAAGGTCACCAAATAAACAGAGAGAAATAAAGTCTGACTGTGGGAGGATGTCACAGGTTCAGTGGGTCCCCAAAAAAATAGCTGGGAGTTAGCCAAAATAATAGGAAAATGCTAAAAATGGACCTTTTCTGTATTGTTCTTCATCATTAGCCAGAAAAGCTTTGAGTTCATGTTGAAAGTTTTTACAAACTCAGAGGATGGAGCCCACGGTGTGTCAGGTCATGACAAAACAAAAACCTACACACATTCCACACAACGTGAAAACAAAGGCGGTCATCTGGAACAACAGAGCAGATAAAACAGCTCAGATATTAGGGAAGAATCTATAGGAGGACGTGGGAGCGTAATCCCACTGAGTTTGTTTAAAAAAGCTTCACCTCTGCCGCCACCAGCACAAGCAGCAGCAGCGGCAGCAGCAGCTTTAGCGCCTAAGCTGTGTTATCACAATGATGTCCTTGCACCCAGCAGAACAAACAATAGTCGGCCTCACACATCAAAGTGGAACTGTGTGACGTGTGGATCAGAGGACGGCTCTGATGGGGTTTATTTAATGACCATTAAAGCTCTTACTGGAGGAAAGAGGCTCATTTACAAAACCAATTTGTGGCAGAAGATTACAAACACCACATCCGGCAGTTAGAGAAGTCGTTAGAGAAGTTCTCCTCTCTTCTCATGTTATCACGTCATCATTTAACATAATCTATGGGCACGGCTCACTCACACTGACCTCAGGAGGCTGAGTTAATGGAGACATGCATGTGGACAAAACAGCAAATGCTGCGAAAACTGAAGATAAGTTTTCAAAATGTTTATCCAACGACGATGGATGTTAGCAAGGATTTAGCCAAGATTTATATGGTTACAATGGCCAAAACATAAAAAAAGAAAAGCTAAAAAAAATTGACAATAAATTCTACAGATCAACCAAAATGTCCAGATGTTTTAATCAAAGACAACCTTAAGTTAGCCAAAAGAGCTAACAGTTAGCTTAAACTATTAAAAAGTCTTTTCAGTCCAATACTTTACAAAATATAACTATATAAAAACAACAGTGGGCAAAAATATCACTGAAATGAAGTACCAGGTGTAGCTAAAGGTTAAATAGCTACAAATTAACAGAAAAGGTCCAAAATTATGATCCAGAAATAACCTAAAGTTTTAGGTGAACTTTCTGCTGTTTTAAATGCTTTTCCTGCTTTGAGGGTATGATTTCAGAGACTGAGTATTGAGTTGAACAGGAAGGAAGAAAGAGAAGAAAGACAGGAAGTAAGGAAAGGAGGCGAATATTACTGAGGGGAAGCAATAAAGTAGAAGGAAAACAAATAAGAACATTCTGTTGAACATTCACAAGACGAAAAAATTCTGATTGACGTCATAATCTGGACTTGGACTTGTTCATAGTGAAGTCAGTTTGATTGTAAAGCTGGTTTCTCTTTCTAGATGTAAATAGTTTGGCACAAAAAAAAAATCCTAAAAATAGTATAATTAGTTTAATGGTTTTAATTTTTTTGTCTTTAGGGCGTGAAGCTAACACAACATGTTCACACCTGTACCTCAGTGTTTATCTTCTGGACTTTTAGTTTAAAAGGTCTTGTAGTCACATCCATGACATCATGGCAGAATGACCTCGTCTCAATTAGCAAGTCACGTCTGTGACATTGTTTTCTTTACGTTTTTGTTAAAGGTCAGATCCTTGGTCTCACAGACTCTGAGGAAGGAAGCGATCTGTTTTTGGAGAGCACCTCATATAACCATGACCTCATAAATATACAATACGGCCCGACTTATAAAAACACAGCTCTATCCAACCGTTCGCCCAACCACGGCTCACTTTGGCTAGCTTCAGATGTTCAGTGAAAACAGGAAAACTATTTAAAGATCGTACCGTAGAAAGTTCCTGACGTCACGCCTCGGAATTGTGCCATTGTTCACTGCTCAGATTTAAGAGACGGCTTTATGTGCTGCCGCTCCACGTTTGTGTTTCTTTCACAAGACGAGCGACTGGATCCGCTGTCTTTCTTGACACCAAACACACTTGATGAGGGGGAGGGGGTCCGCTGTCTTTCTTGACACCAAACACACTCGATGTGGGAGGGAGAGGGGGTTCTTTTTGCACAAATACGAGTGTACGTGTTTGATTGTTACTCACCTGACAATTAAAAGAATTGCATGACAGAAAGAACAGAGGAGTATTAGATATAACTGGTGAAAAGATGGTAAAAATAGCTAAAGTGCGTTACCAGGCATGGGCAATCTAAGGCCCGCGGGCCGGATATGGCCCGTTCTACTTTTTAATCCGGCCCACCAAACTTTTTTAAATTATATAATTTATTTATAGTATTATTATACTTCTGCCTATTCCATGCAATATAATACTTCTGCCTTTTCCCTGCAATATCCTTTTTTCCCCAATAGAGGGCGTAGAAAATGATAAAAGCATTTTAGCCTTTATGCATGACTTTTACACGTCATTTATCTTAGTTCACACCAACGCTCCATCTCTCTTCTCCTGACCCGGCCCCCCTGTTCAATTTTAGGACAATTGTGGCCCAAGAGTCAAAAGGTTTTGCCCAAACAATGTCCAGAAACTTCTGGGTCACACACATACCTAGACCTCAGAGTGTTTGACGTCACAAAAACATGTTTTTGTTGTGCACCACGTTTTATCTGCTCACGTGTTTGGGTCTGTTGTGTGTCCTGCTCCAGTCCTCAGCTCCCAGGCCCTTGTGGTGTACAAACTGCCCTGATGTCAAAGGTCATTTCTGGCCTATCAACTGGGCTTCCATGATGACAGGCAGTTCCTCCTATAGAGAGTTAAATGTGAAGGTGAAGCTGTTGCTTTTGAGCTTGACTGACGACACATTTATTTAGCCAGTCAGAGGTCCGTGGTTGGTTCTCAGTTTCCTCAGCTGTCCTACAGCGTCTATAAAATACAATTTAGTCAATAAATACATTTAAAAATGCTCCAGATTCTGTCTTTGTTTATCTACATTTGTCTGCTCTGTAGGATAATTAGCTAGCATGCTAACAACAACAACAACAAAAATCACAAGTAATGGGCCAAAGGAATACTGGGTAACGAAAACACCCTCTGCGTTTGTCACAGTAACTACCAGGGACAGTTTGATGTCAACCTTTTTTTTTGATGTAACTCTTGTTTTCCTTCCAAATGTCTTTAGCGGCGCTGCCGTCAGCCATCCTGACACTGACCTTCAAGCCTTTCCAGAGAGGAATCGACTGCGATGACAAGAGCATCGCATTACCATATCGAAAGGACACCATATCCCATGGGACCATGGCTGCAGTCACCATCTCCAGCTCCATTATCATAGTGAGTCCATGACAATAAACAGAAAAACAACAGGACAGTAACCATTAGAAACCAGTAGACAGATAAGCCGTCGCCTCTGCTCTCCTCACAGATCACGTCTGGAGAAGCTTATCTGGTTCACACCAAACGGCTCCACTCCAACTCCCACTTTAACCAGTACCTGTCCGCTCTCTACAAAGTGGTAGGCACCTACCTGTTTGGAGCGGCTGTCAGTCAGTCCCTGACCGACCTGGCCAAGTTCACCATCGGTCGTCCACGCCCGAACTTTTTAGCCGTGTGCAAACCAGACAGCTGTAATGGTTACATGTTAAATATCAGCTGTACGGGGAATCCTCGCGACGTGACGGAATCCAGGTGAGCGCTCACATTCAGACGAATACGTTGTGTTTTTGAAGAACTGTTAACAGCGAGTTTACTTCAGTTTTTAAGTGAATGTTTAAGCTAGGACATGGTATGTTAGCTATAAGCTGAGCTTTAGCTGGCTGAAAAAATGTGTTTGAGTAAAGGTCTGCTATATAGACACTGTTAGCTTAGCCTAGCTTAAATGGATGGCTTTTCTGAATGGGTTAATTGCACAGATGAATTCAGTTGAAAAACTTCACTCTCTACCAATGAATGAATGTTCCACTGTATCTCCCCAGGCTGTCCTTCTACTCCGGCCACTCGTCATTCGGGATGTACTGTATGCTCTTTTTGGCGGTGAGTGTCCTACATTTGGTTGTAAAAAATGAGTGTTTACAGAGAACACCTACAAGTGACTGAAAACAGAAGAAGGTGGCGGTCGACGTGGACACGAAACTCAAGTTTCAAAAACGTCATTGTTTTAACGATAAACTCTACACAATGGACAGACGAGGGCAGGATCTCGCCACAATTAACAGATGTTTCAGTTTATATTGACGTTTGACATAATGTTGAATAATGTGCTTACATGTTTACAAATGTATTTGGGGCAAAGATATTAATCAAGGTGATTCATCTTTTTTTTAAAGCTAAAGTTGTTAGTACTAAACAGCATTTTTTGGTAAATGCAGACAATGTAATAGCTGTTAGCCTGAAGCATGCTAAAGCTAAAGTGAAAGAAAAAAAAAGTGCTAAAGAAAAAGTGAAAAGCTGCACTACATTACTGAACACCCAGAATCGCCAACAATCTGTCAAAATGTGTCATCAAATGTAACCTAAAGTTGTACAAAAAAAAGCTCAAAGTTAAACCAAAGTAGCTACAATATAGCTAAGAAAATACACATGGTTAGCCAACAAATTTAACTAAGAGTCAAATAAAAGGCTCAAGTTTAGCTAACAGGGTTAGCTAAGTTAAACTAAGTCAGGTCATAAGAACGTGGAATTTAGCCAGAAAAAATATTTGAGCAGTATTTAAATATTTATATATTCAAAACAGGTTTTTATTCAAATTCTAAGTGTGTGTGTGTGTGTGTGTGTGTGCTTTCAGCTCTACATCCAGGCTCGGATGCGAGGGAAGTGGACACGACTTGTTAGACCGACCATCCAGTTCTTCCTGGTGGCGTTTGCTGTATACGTGGGATTTACACGGGTTTCTGACAACAAACACCACTGGAGTGACGTACTGGTGGGATTGCTGCAGGGGGCGCTCATCGCTACCCTCAATGTAAGTATTTTCTTCTTACATTGTGTGACTTTGGTGTTGCTGTTGCACTAAATTGAAAACCCCTTCCAGGTGTAAACACAGGACGTGGAGAGTGTTGCTTTGCTGTGACGGTTACTGTGTACCTCATTTGTAAACCTGAGGAACAGGGTGATCCTGCTGCTCACTCACATGGATCCACACTAGTACGGGTTTTACCAATGAAAAACAAAAGGAATTTCTAAAAATGAAGCTTGGCACAGGTCTTTAAAGTCCTCAAAAGATGTTCATATTTGGACAAAATGTTAGTAAACTGACGACCTTTGAGTCTATGGCCAAAGTTTGCGAGGGAACAGGAGGTGAAATGTTAAAACACCTGAGGGCCAACTGTGCCTCCTGCTGCATTCAAGACTATAATTAAGTGATAAACATATGCACTGCATCGTTACACAAAATCACACAAAATTATTTTTTTATAAATAAATAAAAAATATAAATTTAACTTAACTGATAAAGCATGTTAGCCAGAAATATAACAAATAATTTGGTAAAACATTTGAATTATTTTTTGTAAAAAAAAAAAAAGTTAGTTAAAATACACAGAACAGGTAGGTGGGATAGCTAGCATAGGTCGTAAGTTGTAGTGGTAAGAAAATATTTAACCAGAAAAAAAGACAAAAAAATCTTAAATAATGCTAACAATTTAGCATAATTAGCTATAGCTAAAATAGCTAAATGTCTCTCCTGATGGACACCAATCTTTTAAGACAGTTTAGGGTATATAGAATAATTCACCACTAAAACCTGGCAGCATCCATCTCTCTAATCGTTTCCATTTCCTCTAGGTCCGATACGTGTCCGACTTCTTTAAGCAGCGATCTGCGCCCTGCACGCCATCGGACGTCCCTGAGATCCAGTGCCTGGAGCGCAAACCTAACCCTAACCCTCAGCCCAGGCCGGAGCGTCAGCACGGGAACCTCTACAACCTCTCCAGAGCTGTTTAGATGACAGTCACTGCTGCTGCTGCTGCTCTGTATTACCCTGCTGCTTCGCCCGTACCACCCGAGGTCATGTGACCAAACATTAAGACACTGCAATAACCACTAGCTGGACTTTCACGCCAGACATTTCTCTTTTATGGAATTCTGCAACAAGAAAACACCCCGGAACAACAAAGAAGTGATCTGTGTAAGGGGTGTGGAGTGAGTTTTGTGCAGATGTGTGTATGTTCATATATACTGAATACAGTAGAAATATGTGTATTTTTAAATTTTCTTTTTTCTATTTTGAGTCCAGGAGAAGGAAGTAAAAGAGGTTACAGGAGATTTTAAGAATTTGGCAATATAAAAAAAAAAGACAAAAACATAAGGACTGCATGTTGTCAAAGTTGTTTTGTTTTTTTCTTTAAGTTTACTTACACTGGAGCATTGCTTCTATAATGTCTGTTCTGTCCACAGTCAGCGGCTAGTTTTGTTTAGGTACAGCTTCCAAATGCTGTCTGGATTACACCTACGTACCATTGGGAACCTAATATTCTGGCCGCTATTTTTTTTTTTAAGATCTGTCTCTAACACAAATGTATAGTCCTAACATATTTTTTACTATTGTGTTTATAACTAGTTTGTGTAATAAATTTGTGCCTTTAGAGAATGTTATTACCACTTTGTCATGTGATGGTGATGTTACAGTAAACACTTTTGAAGAGGCGACAGATTTGAATGTTTTTTTTTTCTAAAGACAAATTATTTAAAATACATGGACAAAAGGAGGAAAGAGGAAACAAACCAAGATTTTTTTTGTTTCTGTTTTGTTTATCAAGTCAAGACATGGACCCAACAGTCTTTCACCGTCCCTAACCCTCTTCTTTTTATAACATCATTGTAAATTAAAATAATCATGTGATGACGCCTTTCTGGTAGCGATTGTTTTCAAGGAGCTATTCCATAAATATCTGCCAGGATGTTGCTAAATGGGACAAAAGATTTTGTTTATTCTACGTTTTTTTCAGTGTGCTGTTCTTGGCCTCACTGGTGAAAAGGATGCACAACACGCTGACGGTTTTGTTCATGTCTGGACCTGCAGTTTAAACAGCCATGGGATTCCTCAGTGCCAAAGGAATGAGGCAGATAGAACACGTCAAACAGGAAAAAAAAAATAAATCAAGGCTGATAAGACTGCAGAGGGTATTCCTTTTCCTGAATAAAAGGTCGACAACCATAAACTTATTTTTCGGTTTAATCAAAGTTGTCTTCATATGATTAGTTTTCAACTTTCACTTTTTTACTTCAAATCAGCTCATGTTTCCAAAATGAATGAAGGCAATTTGAAATGACTCTGTGGTAAAAACTCCAGGGAAGTCAGAAAAACCAGAAACAAATCCAGTGAACTGGTCGACTTGATGTTTCTGAAGTACAATTATAGAGTAGCTAGCAAGGAATTGCTCAACATTAGCAAGAGCTTAAAGTCAATCAGAAAATGTATCTTTAATATCCGATCAGCTCAATTAGCCAAGCAGCATAAAAACAGTAACAATAGAAGGCCAAAATGTAACAACAATAGAATTAGCCAGTGGCTAAAACATAGCATAGGATGCTAAAGGAGAATAAAACAATTACCAATCAGTATTTGAATCTGTACCTCATCTGTAATCTCAAAAGTTTGTTGGTTATTTTTCTTCAAATGCACAGACCACCGACCTCAAGTCCTCAATCACATCTTTTATTTGTAAGGCACCAGAGAAGCTTCCTTACTGCTAGAATGTCGATTCATCTCATTAGAATACACAGTTGCTTGTTTACAGATTTTTTTTTCTTTTGCCCCAGTTATACATGTTTTTTTAAGGAGACTGTTCATGAACACGCCTTTTTTTCTTCTTTTTTTCACATTTACAAACAAAAAACAGAAATATTAAGTATTACAGGGATAAAGAAAGAAAGTAGAAGAAAAACCAAGATATACAACATTGTGCCTCTCGTACTGCAGGCTTATATAGCACACACACACACAACAAACACTTAAGTAGTCCATGATACACACACACACACACACATTAAAAAGCAGCTTTGAAACATACAAAAATGCTTTAAAAATATGTATATTGATATATTCATGTATTCATGTATACAAATTTGCCCTTCACGGAAAACATGTAGCATTCATCTTAGCCAATAAGGGTCTCAGACTGACGTCACTATAAAGAGTGCGCATGACGGACTGATCGGTTCCCGCACTCAGTATATTAGAGTCTAATCTCAATACAACAACAAACAGACAGGAAGAAGGGAAAAGGAGAAAAGTACTGGGATTCAAGTGCTTTTTTTTTTCTTTTTTTTTTGAAAAAGAACTTTTTGGGAGGATGGGGCAAATGTTTTGAAATAAGAGGCGAGTTAGTGAAGTTCTGGAAAGTGCTCACATTACAGAAGGAACGATGAATAAACCAGGTACGGTGTTTAAAAAAGTCAGAAAGTTAGATATAATGGAAACTGACCTGAATCTCTTTTCTATGCTTCAGTCTTGACGAATTATTGAACTGAGCTCTGCTGCCCTCTGCTGTTCAATTCTCAGATCTAAACTGTGTCTCACGTCCATACGACCGTTCCCTACAAGTGTCGAAATTAACGGGAGCTTTTCTAGAAAATGCCATGAAGCAAAAGAAAAATCCTTCGCTTAATATTTGAGGATGTGGCTTTTCGTACTTAATAAAAAACATGTTTAATAAATGCAAACCTGTGTGAACTCAAATGTAATTATTACGATCTAGCTAGCTGTAAGTACCATTGCTAAGTTTTTAATTGAAAACTGGCCAAATAATGACCGAACATTAGCCTTGGTTGGTTAACATTAGCTGTAATGGTATCAGAAACTAATAGTTGTAGTTAATTTCAAAAGGCTAAAATGACCAGAAAAACAGCAATACTTTTAAATAAAACTGCCCAGAGAATGTTCGAAAATGCCAAAAAATGTATAGAGAAACATCTATTCAACAAGTAGTCAACAAATGGCTGAAACAACTCGTTAGCTGACCTCAAATAACACGAGGTTAGTCAGACAGTTAGTAAAAGCCATAAGATTACATTACATTGGTTACATTTTAGCAAGAGATGAATAAATAACAATTAAGGACAACTACACCTTTATCTTGGCAGATAAATTGGATTTTTGAAGCATTTTATTTCTAGTCAGATGCATAAACATAAGCTAAAGCAGTAAATACATGAAGTCAGGTTACCGAGAAAAAGTCTGAGTCCAAGTTCATTTTGAGTCCAATTTACCAAAGTTGAGTTTAACACAGTTGTGAATTCTACAGCGGCGTTAAGTCGTATGGACCTGGGACATGGCTTTTGTCTGAAAATGTTTTAACACTTTTAATTGTCACCGAAATGATTTTTTTTTTCAGTTGTTTGATGGTGTGATTTAGCTGTTCCGGAGCTTTAGCCATTCACTCAGCTCACATTCTTCATCAAAATGACAGAAAAATTAAAACAAATACAGTCACACGCACTCGCAGACACACACACACGACGGGGAAAACAGGTGCTTAATACAGTCTCTGTTGAAACTGAAGTGCTTTGCTAACTCAGAAATACAGTGCAGTTTTCATGGGTTTTTTTTTTTTTTTCGTTTTTTTTCACTGTCTGCTTCTGATGTTTGAATCCCATTCACGTCTGCTTTTGACAGTTGACGTACAAAGGGTTGACGCAAAGTGGGGGCAAGAGAAATACAAAAAGGTGCTTAAAATTGTTTTAAATTAAGCAATTCTTCCTTCTTTCTAAATGCACTCGCTCCAGCACACGTAGACAATTATTTACTAACTATGGCCAGTCTTTATCCTCCACACCAAGACGTTTTTGATTAAGAGTAGATACCTGTCATTTTAGGACAAGTCATGGTCCAATACATGGAGTACTTGAAGCTGCTGCAGTAAAACAAAACCGCCCTCCCTGAACAGCAGGAGCATCTTATGAACCATTTCCAGAAATGGTCGCAAAAGGTGGAGTCACTGAGGTAACTGGCATGTTTACAACTGGTTAGGGGAGTTATAAATCAAATTTTAAGAATAAAATGAACACTGTGTTGTTCACTTGTTATATATGACCAACAGTAATGCTGTACGGCCGGTGGGGTTTTTTTTTTTTTTTTTTTTAAAGGAATGAAACAGCGTTTAATTTGGACTGAGGTCAGGTGATCTAGTCCAGTGATAGATATAAAAATGTGATGTTTGAATAATAACAGGAGTCTGACGAAACAAAGGTTTGGCTATGGTGCACAATATTACTGTTCCAACAGAAACAGAAACTGGTGATATTTGGGATTTTTAAACAGAAAAAGAGATTATTTTGTCCATCGACTAAATTCAGAGGAATATTTAGTGAAACAACAGATCTGAGGAGCCTAACATATCATCCACATACTGTTCTCCTGGCATTGGCATCTAAATATCTTGTGAGTTCTTCCCATTTTCCAATACTTTTACTCAGGGAAAAGCAATTAGGAAGGCAGAAAATCACTCTTGTGCAGGCACAGAGGCATTAATAGCCAGAGAACAACACTGTTGGAAAGCAGGTTCATTTCAGGTTCCTTAAGCCTTGAATTAAAAAATATGCTGCTACTTAGGTGTTTGGGTGACACATTTGTTTTGACGATTGTTGTGCTTTCCTCCCAACAGTAACTGTGATGCAACCAAGGTCTGATGCATGAACACAGTTTACCCTACGCTTATAAAATCCTGCTTCGTCAGGCTTCTGTGCTGCAGAAAACCATGCAGACTTCTGGGATTTCACAAACAGGTATCAGCATTTGACACCAATTGTTGCCAAAGCTACTAATCTCTTTAGATTCAGAGTGGGCTTGTAGTCTGTAGGAAGTGTGTCTGGCCAGCTGCAATGATAGCGTGGGCAGGCACAGAGGCATCAAAAGTCCAGGATCTAAGTACTGTGGAACACAGCACTGTGGGACTGTCAAAATTGAAATATAATCTTTAACAGCCGATTCTTTCTTTTCTTTTCTTCTTTTTTTTTTTTTTACAGGCTTACACCCTTAGAGCTCCCTCTGTGGATTTTTGGGGTAACTACATCTAACAGCCTAAGGTGGACTCATATTAGGTTTTCAGCCTTTAGTCTTTGAACTTTGAAGTTCCAACTGACATAGAAACAGGGGATTAAAGTGACCCTCTAAGGAGTCACCTGACAGGGACTGGGAGATGGGCGCAAAAGGGACAATTAGCAAAGAACTTAGGAAAATGCAAGAATGCAAATCGGATAATAATTGGAAGAAAAATAACCCTGTGTGAGGCAGATCCATGTTAGGGAGACCACTGTTAGCTTTCGGCCTCGGCTCTCGTCACAAATAGCAAATGTATTATTCTTAGTTAGGCCTTACAACAGAGGCTCACGCTAACAAAAAAAAAAAAAAGTAATTATTTCACGTCTAGAAGCCTGAACTGAGCCTTTCGCCACCAAACAAGGACTTTCCACACTCTTCCTCTGGGGTTTCTCACCAAAAGCACTCAGGCAGCCAGACTTGCATCAATCTCCACTCACACTCACGACTTTTTCAACTCTTTTTTTTTTTTTCTTTTACAACACTTTACACTTTCACCTCCAGACCTCCTCACTGCATCAGCGCTAATCTGACTTGTCCCCGTCGTCTCCTCGGGGCGCTCTCTCCGGAGCGTCCCGGGCTTTGTCCTCCTTCACCGCCTGGGCCTGGCCATGGGAATAGTTGGCCAGGATGGAGGAGAGAGAGAGCAGACCCGAGCTGGAGGAGACGGCGGGCAGGTTGGGAGGGGTGAGTCCCAAGGGCAGGGGGGTCACGGGCAAGGCCAGACCCTGGAGCTGGGACAGGTGTTGAACCTGGAGCTGTTGCTGGAGACACACAAGGCACGTTGACACGCATGCAGTTTTGTTGGGCTAGAGCAGTACTTCTCAAATAGTGGGGCGGGCCCCCCTGGTGGGAGGTGTAGTGTAGTGAGGTGGTGGGGGGAACACCAGGTGCTTTCAATGGAATATGGCACACTGGACAGAAGTGGACCACTGCTGTGAGGCTTGAATGATAACAAGCCTCCAGTCACTAGGTGGTGGCAACTCATACAGTGGTTTGTACAGATGAGAATGTACAGTACATGTTATCAGGTTCTCAATAGTATTTCAATTGAAGCGGTGAGGGGGGAGGACTAGTGGACTACTCCTTGTACCAGTTCACAATAACAGGAGACAGAGTGTTTACAGGTGCACCAACTTTAGGCTCCAATGTGCAGTGAAGAACCAATTCAGTTTGTCAGTAGAATTCTCAGGACCACAGAGGAACTATTGGAACCACATTCACTTTAACTGGGTATTTGTAGAATGATGTCATATTTTAATAAAGCCATCATGTTTACGTGAGAGTTTTTTCTAGACTTCCTCCGAGTGATTCCTTAGTAGTTCACTATGGTTGGATCTTTGTTAAGATGTCCCGCCTCCTAGGCCAGAAACTAAGCTCTGACTGGCTCCCTTCCTCATTTGTTACTCCAGATTTAATGACAAAATTGGACCTACTGGAGTTATTTGACAGATTTTTCCTCAATACATTTCAATCATTCTTAAGAATCTCACTTTCAAGCAGCCATGTTCTTTGTAGAACTCGTAACGTAATTAATAACATCTGTCCGCAGGGCACAAGGAAAAAAAAAAAGATTTTATTCTGGTTTTCTGCTTAAGGAGTGTTTACAGTTTGGTTAAACTAAAACCTCTTAACCCTTTTTTTTTTCCTAATAATTTTAGTAAGACTGAGATCAGTGTGAAAGAGTAAACTCAAAACAATAAATAAATAAAAACTCACCCGTATGATGGAGTTCATCTCTGGGGGTGTGACCTGCTTGGCTCTCTCTATGGCTCCCATCACTTGCTGCTGATGCTGTGAGAAAAGAACAACGAGGTCACAACATGATGAACGAGATACATAGATAGAAAGATAGAAACTGTAGATGTATACATATATGTCTATATATACAGTCATTTAAGAACCAACCAGTTATACCAAGCATTCACATGCTCATTTGGAAACAAATGTCCCACTTGCTAAGATATTAGCGCTGAAAAAAATCATTACATGAACAAGAGGATGAGTGGAGACTGTTAACAAGACACATTCATGAAGACAGTGTCATTACCTCCTGGGACAGGTAAGGCAGCACCTGAGCACAAATGCCATTAAGTCTCTTCACTATTTCAGCCTAAAAAAAAAAAAAGAAACAAAAAAGTCAAATGTTGAAACCTTGAAAACCTCAGGTGAGAAAAAGATTACAAGGCAGAGGGAAATACCTGTTTGTGCATTTCAATATTCAGCCCATATGACATTTCATAGTACTGTAAACAAAGGGAGACACAAAGTCAGTCACTTTACAGTACGTTTTTATCCATTTCATTATTATCACTGCAGAACTTTGAGCCAAAGGTATCACCATGTTGCTGCAAACTTAGCGACAACAGAGTTTAGAATACTACGGTGGCACAGCTCTGTGGGTGAAAAGAGGATGTCCTGTGGTGTGTGTGCATGAGGTCGACCCAAACCACAGTTTCAGAAGGCCAAGCAGGACAATGTATACAGTTGGTTTTGCCTTCTTCTAATTACACAATAAAATAAACTTTACTTTGTATTTTGTTTCATAGTAAACAGAGCTTTACCACCAATGACCCATTACAAATGAAAACACTGTCTCCTGTTAGATCAGTACATGTTTTGAGTTTGAGTATTTTAATTAAATGTCAAGTCCATCCATAGAATTTCATGCCTAATAACATGTTTATTTCATTAACAGCCACATTGCAATTAAACAGGACAATTACAGACTTACCATAATATAGTGACGTTGCATTTCAGACTTTTCTGAGGCCAGTTTATCACACTCCAACTTCAAACTGTTGAAAATAAAAGAGCGTTAGACTTCTGCCAATTTGCAGGTGAATCAGACATCAAACATACATTTTTCAAGTCGGACGCTGATCATTTGATTTCTACTGATTTTCAACCTTCATTTTAGAACTTAACAGTGGTAACTGCACAGCTGTGAGTTCACCTTTGTAACTCCTTATAATGATAGAAGTCAAGATATTGGTGTGCTCCTCACTTGAATATTGGATATGGATGGTGATGCTGTGTATGTATGTATGCATTACTGCCGGACCTGTGGTATTGTGCTTGTAGGAACTGGAACTCATCCTTGATGCGGTCGCAGGAGTCAGAAGTGGTGAACTTGAGCTGTTGACTGGACTGAGAGGACGCCTGAAAACAAAAACGACAACCAGAAACAGAATGTGAGTTACTTTGCACTGAGATCCAAAATACTAAACTCCAGAGACCACATAAGAGTTGTGCTCTTGGTTTGCAGCTGAATGTTTGAAGTTTTCTTACTTAAATGTTGTGTTCCATTGCTCCTTAAAAAAATGTACCAATAGATTCCCAGTTCCCAGAATGATCCTAATTATCTCCATTATATTATACCACCACCTTACTAATCCACAACGAAATAGGGACATGTTCTATTGGGTCTAAATGTTCTAGTTTATACGTGTGTATATATATATATATATATATATATAGAGAGAGAGAGAGAGAGAGAGAGAGAGAAAGAAACTATTAACTGATGCTAGGCTAGGCTAGGCTAGGTCGTACTCTACTGGCTTGATTTCTTTTTTAGTTTTGTCAGTTTTGTTCTGTATCTTGGACATCTACCTGAATCTTCTCTTTCAAATTCCAACACTTTACGCATGGCTGCATGAACACCGTCTGTTTATGAGTGTTGTTAGCTATGACTGATACGACGGAGGGAGCTCATAAAGTCTAATCATTTAGTTAATTTATAGAAAGTAAAATGTGTCGAGTTCTTCAATAAACCTAGAATGTAAAATAATTTATGTTAAATCGCCCTGCACAGCATTCACATTAAAAACCTAAAAAATATAGATTTAATTTTCTTTGTGAGTAACAATTTTCTCATTAGCTGTACCTGCTCTACACAATCAACCATTTACTTCTGGTAGCTTCTTGTTTTGAAGTGACGCTAGCTTACGACTGCTTTGGTAGCTAGCTTGACACTTTCCGCTATTTAAACTCATTTTACTAATTTTCTTTTAGTTAAATTAACTGTACATATATGATAAGAAGACGTAGGTGCTGTTAGACATTAGCTGCTGGTGCTGTTATTGTGAGCCGACAGTTTGTCCTGGAGCCGCTGCTGCTACTGTCAGCTGTTAGCGGCTAACTAGCATTAGCACAGGCTGCTAATACAGTTTCTCTTACACTTTCCCACTCAGACGAGTACAGTTAACAGACTTACCGAGTGTCTTGATTGGGGAAACATCATGTCAGCAGCGGTTTCTTCTTCTCCGTGCTTCTGCTCTCGGTGAAATTAGCAGGCTAGCAGACTTAGCTAACAGGTCCCCGGATAATAAATTTAAATTTAAAGGATAAGAAGCGATATTCGCACTTTCATCGTTTTATAATAACGGGCGCAAACGTCAAAACAACAGCGGATAAAAATTGTCTTTTTTGAGCTTCTTTACGACCAAATGCGCCGCGGCCTCTAAGGATGTAGAGGGTAAAATCTGCTCAAAGAGACGTCACAGAGTGCGTGTGTGTGTGTGTTTTTTTCTCCTGTGGAATAACGTTAATGCTGCACCTCCCTGGGGGAAACCCTGGATGTTGACACATGAGCTCCGCGACTTTCCTCTGCTTTTTCAGAGAAGAGCAGCATCACCCGGAACACAAACCAAGCAGTGGAGGAGCGGGCGCCCCGTGTGACACACTACTGAACTGACCCGTTCGTACCTGCACACAGGGACGTACGAAGAGCAGCAGGGATAAGGGCTGATGAATCGCCACCAAAAATCTTTGTTGTTCAGGAATAATCACATACGACTTATTAATTGCATTGATATGCATGAGAAGATTCAATAAAACATTCAAAAATAGTGTTTTTTTAAAAAATCTATTCAATGAGCACTAATGTGCAAATGTTAATAAAATGATAATATATTAACTTATATACATACTACACATACATACATCTTTGTCTTTCTCTACACACACACAGACATATATGCGTATATGTACAGACATATATATATATATATGAATATATATATATATATATAAAGAGTTTGATTTTTGCTATGGTTTGGTTCAAAAAGCTCAATATACTAGATAGCTAGATAGATGATTATTATTGTTGTATTTTATTGTTCATTATTGATTTATTTATTATACATATATACATAAATTAATATACAATATCACACTTGTATTCTGTGGTGATCTAAAATACACAAACGTAATTTTGGCTTAAATCAATATCAAAAAGACAAATAGTATGTACTATTTTTCATGGTTTTTTTCCCCCACTGCTCATCTAAATTTTCAACATTTTTTTAAATCTGCACAGAGAGAACACAACAGTACACTGACAAAGGTTTTATTTTCTATTATTTTTTATTTATTTCCTAATCAGTGAAACCACTAGTAGATTCTAACTGGACACCTTAAACACAACAAAGACAAAACCACACCATCAGCAAGTATAGGAACAAATTTATTTCAATTTAAAACAGATACCTTGACATTATGTTTCTCTCTTAGAAGGCGATAATGATCATAAGTCATGTTCATGTTTGAATGAGGATCAGGCAACAGTGGTTGAAACAAATACATGAAACACAGTTAAAAAAAATATGGCAAGAGTTATGTAAATCAATAAATGACGACTGACTGAATGAACCCCCTCGACCCCCCCTCGCTGCTTCGTCAAGGGCTCTGCTTCAGCTTCAAGCCCTCACTTCTAACACAAAAAAATAGCACATGCAATTGTAATTACAGTTTCTTTTCTTTTTTAAAAAAAAAAAAGGGGGGGGAAATGAAACAGCAGATTATCTTCTTAAATCTTCAATCTTTAAATACAGAATCGTTTTTTTGTGTAATCAATCATCTATCCTTTTAGTCTGTGTTTTTGTCTGGGTTCTCTTTATGAACGGGGACCTTCTCAGGTGGTGGTCCTGTAGATGCTGACCACGCGTTGGCACTTAGAGAGAGAGAGAGAGAGAGAGAGGGAAGGAAAGGGAGGAGGGGGAGAGAGAGCGAGAGAGAGAGCCTGGCTCTAGATCAGAGTGGGGTTGGCACACAGTATAATACATAATTTACATTTGGTTTACATACAAAAACCAAGGAGGCAGGAAAAGAAAAGCTTTTTATACATTGCTTCACAACTGACCTTCAGTGCGGAAAGAAAGCAAATCACATGGTCCTAAGAAATAGTGTTATAGAATGTTGTATAACGCAGAGAAAATTTGAACAACGACGAGAATGAGAAACAAGCTTAGTTTTTCTTCTAAATATGCAGCGACTTCTCAGTGACGTTTGAAGGATAATAATTTACTTTGCCATACAGGACGGGAATCTCTGGCCACCTAGTGGTCACAGAGCACAATCTGACACTGTCTGAAATTATTCCAGAAATTAATTAGGGAACTGCAGCGTGTCTGAAATTATTCCAGAAATTAATTAGAGAACCAGTCATTTCATTGCTCAATTCTCAAGAACATACAGAATATGAAATGATAAAAAGGGGTGGGAGTGGGGGGGGTTTCCCTTCCTTAATTTCTGCTCTTGTACAAGTCAACGACGACAGAATGCTAACAAAAATTAACAAAGCTACGCCTATGGCCAGTCAGCCCTTCAACCATGTGCCAGAGTTTTAGTGTCAAGTTTCCAAATACAACGTAGTTTCATCTTTCTTCAACTCATTATGAAAAGAAGCTGCAACACACAAGTAAAGGCTCAACACAACAACGGATAAATACTTGGGTAGTTGTACTAGCATCTTCGTTCCGCTCAAATACTGGCATCCAGGCCAACTTTGTGAGTGTTGGCCGTCCGCTTTTACCATATGCATTTAGTGTCATTTTCTATAGCAAACCAAAAGGAAATTGGCAGTTCAGGACCACACTGGTGTTTTTAAAAAACTATTTCAAACCCATTAACGTAGTGTTGAAAGTCTGATTTTGGTCAGTTTCAAAGATAGTCACGCAAAGTCGTCAAGGTTGGTTCGCAATCGACGGAAACACGTCTTGGTTGTGTGCACCAGCCAAAAACTGTAGGTTGTTTGTTGGCTCGAATGTTTGGCATGATTGGAATTGGAAAATTTTAGATATTTTTTTTTAGCTTAGCAACTTTTTTTAGCAGTTAGGAATTGGCAGACAGATGTCAGAAAAGTTGAATCTGTTGCATCTGTGCTAGGATTGATTAATACCTTCATTACTTTTTGTAGAGTAAAAAAACTCCAATGGGACGGTTGCTTTGTAGAGTAAAAAAACTCCAATGGGAAGGTTGCAAAAAAAAAAAAGGGGGCTAAAAAGATGTGGTAATCATTTAGCACTAGCTCCAGACAAGGAGAAAATCAACACAAAGCTTTGGACGATGTCAGAACTTCTTCAAGTTAGACACGATAGAGACGCCGACCACAGCGGCTGCCTGCAAGGGGACAAAACAATTTCTATAAATAAAAAGAAAAACAGCTTAGGAGTACTGTAATACAAATGTGTAACTGGCTTAAAACAAGCAAAAAAACACCAGTACGGTCAACTCAGAATTCTTGGCCATGAAGTACAGTTCAAATACTTTAAAGAAGGAAGGGTAAGAGGAAGCCAGGCTGCAATACTTGTCCGGAAAGTAGCGTCTTTAGCTCTAAACACTTAACACTCTGATAGCAGTGCAAAACAAATCAGGAAGTTGTAAAAGTCAGAGAGACAGAAACTGGGACCCTCAAAATCACCGAAGGGCAAAATACGGTGAAAACATTCCTAAAATGTTGGTAAACGCTCTCTCTGCTCAGTCACTCACACGCACGCACGTAAAAACACGCCTTATATTTGCATTAACACCTGCCTATACATCTTACAGTAACCTTTATGTTTAAAGAACACATAATGGATGACTGGGTTCACTGTGGTCACTGTTCTCCACTCCCCACTGTCTGATGCCCGATGTCCCTGTGATAGCCCTTATGAAGATGAAGGAAAAGTCACTGTAGAAAAAGGTCAAGACCTTTGACCTCCCAAAAGAGTATCTGTATTTTACTGGAACTAATCAAAGCAAGCCTCAAAAAGTGTAAAAAAAAAAAAAAAAAAAAAAAAAAAAAAAAAGCAAGCATGGACCGTGCAGGTCACTGGTATAATGAAAAAAAAAAAAGTCAAACAGAAACACCACCTACGTTGGTACTGTACATTTTTCTAGGTACGTCTTACAGCGCTGTGTCTATGAACTGTGATTCTCGTTTTTTTTTTTTTTCTGCCTAAAAACCAAACACGTAGAAACCAAAGGAGTATTATTAACAGATGGAGCAATGGCAAGTACAACTGAAGAAATAGAAAGCAGAGATAAAAGTCCTTACCATACCAGACATTCTTTTTTTGTGTTTTTTTTTCTGTTTACAGCAGTTCAGACTCAAGTAGGCTCCAGTTTGAGAGACACAAGGAGCGCTTAGACATGACAGAATCAAAAAGCAGTCAAATTAATAACACCTTCAAACCTGGTCCATAAATTAGATAAATAAAAAAATTACTTTAATTACTCTTAAAATCATTTTGTCGCCATACTGTGAATTATTATTATTTTTCTTTTAAACTACCAGCCCCAGTTAGTCGTTAGTGGAGGCGGAGCTGCTGCAGTAGTGCGGAGCCGTGAGGCTGGTCAGGAAGAACCCATGTTCTCTGCTGAGTGCTTTCTCCTCAGCACCACTCCACTGTAGTTGTAGTTCTAATAATCAAGTCAACAAAGTTCCATAATCACAGTATCAACACTACCATAAATCCATAAGAAAAAAAAACTGTGCTAAAGAAACAAGTTGATAGTTTTTTAGATTTCTTTTTCTAATTTTTTTTTTTGCCAAAGATGTTGTACCACAGAGCATATTTTCCTTCTCATTTGTACAGGAGTGTTTTGTGTATATGTATTTACAAACAAATATACACAAACATTAGCAGACGTCTGAGTGCGTTTTTACTGTGAAAGGTTCGTAGCCTCGCCTCCTTCCTCTCACCACTCAACAGCAAGCATCTTTTTTTTTTTTTTTTTTTAAATATAGCTATAAACAAAGTGACTATACAGTTTAATAAAAACATAAAAGGTACACACCCCGATGTAATGGACGACTACGTCACCATCAGGAAGAGTGTCTGATTGGACGGCTGAGTGGCAACAGGTGTGATGTCACAAGAGAGATTAATTACCGCACAGATTCTACTTGTAGACCAAACGTTAAAATTGGACGTAGCCAACAGTGATGCCCAGACTAAGGCAAAAACACTTCACGTCTCCTCAGGTGCACTCACTGAAAACATCTGTAGTCCAGATCTTTAGTCAGCTTTTATGCCAGTTTTGTAAATTATGATCCCATTTAGAGGAAAATTCGAGATTAATTATGACAGAAACAGCTAATGTTTTGACGCCATATTTGACATAATGGAAGAAGGCGATCAGTGACTGTAGCTCACTTGTCTTTACTTGCGTCACAGATTCAAATGCAGATGCACGCCCGTTGCCCGAGGGAGAGCATTGGGTGTGAAAATTGAACAAACTGTGGAATTACATGCTAATTATCTACTCTGGTGCCTGTGAAGAAGCAGCTTAAAGTGGTGAGTGTGGGGACGCTAAATTCTTTAGAAAAACAGATGTTAAAAACTAAGGGATAATTAGCCCAATTTTTCATGACGTGACTTCCGACACCAACAGAGCACTTGTTTTTCCTGGGTGTCACTTTGCAGTTGTAGTTTGTAGCCACACGGCTACGTCCAATTCTTGTATACAGTCTTTTGACGAAGCTCACACATTTTGTGGGATGGCGTGCTGAATCTAATCCTGCAAAAACAAGCTACTTTAGCGCCCAAGCTGCAGTTGTGCTCCTTGGGCGTATATAAGCCCCTGACGTCACAATCCTCGCTTTAATCTGTTTCCACCAATCAGAGCAGCCTGACTCGAAAGCATCCCACCAGCCCGTACTGTTGTCGGGTTTGTTAACACCTGTGGTTCGTCGTTTTTTTGGTTTGAGACAAAAATACTGCTTAACCAAATGTGAAAAGTTTTTGTCAGTGGATTCAGACGTGTGGGTCACATGGAAGACCCTTAGAGACAACGTCTGGAGGAGGGAAGTCATGTGATTCACTGAAACGTAGAAATACAGAAATCTAACAAGGTTCCTTAGGTCAAGTATTACTGTGGTGGCCTTTAAAGATGTCTTATTTAAGTTCAAAACTTTTGTGTTATTAGATTTTGACACTGTTACCCCTCCCTCCTCCATTAAACCATTATCTGTTTAATAGAAGTAGCAACAAATTCATATCATTAAAAACATTTATAAAACCTCAGCAATTGATTTTGATTAGCTAATGTCTTGCCCTCGTGCTTTTTTGTCTTAAGTGTTTTTACGTATGCATTTACTTCATAATATATTTTTTTTTCTGCGACTGCGATTATCACACTGGTGGGTACATTCATAGAAGCCAGGAGGAGACACGATCCTCAGACCCATCCCCTTATGTCCTGCGTGCAACCTCACATTCTGTCCAAGTCGCTCTGAAGCATCTTCAGCATGCAGCCACCCGTCCATGGATGTTCTCAGGAGGTTCAGTGTGCACTTCCTTCTACATCTGCAGAAGTTCACGAAGGAGATGAAAGAGGATCTGATCTTGCACCGGTCGAGTGTCAGAGTCGCAGGGCCCGAGGTTTTTAATGTCGCTCAATCAGCTCCTTGTTAAATGATTCTGCCCCCCCACCCTCACCCCCCCACCGCAGGAGGACACACAGACACACACACACAAACACCAAAGTCCCCTCCATCACTGTACAGACCAAATAAGGATTCAAGCGCCAGAAGAAGTGAGCCACGGCCAGCAGCCAGGATCAATCCTGACACGTGGCGCAGCTTTGAAGGGAGCAGGAATTTTCTGACACGACAAGCTGCCAAGTGAAGACAAAGAAGAGGAGGAGGAGGAGGAGGAGGATGAGCGTTGGTGAAAGAGCAGGGGATCGGTTTGTCGACAAAAGGATTCTGTGAATAAGCTCAACCTGGCGGAGAAAGCGTGTCCTCTTCTGGGACGCATGTGTGTCTGTGTGTACAGGCGTGGCGTGTTGATGTTTGTGTGTGAAATGCAGGTGGAGCCAAGGCGCACGTCTTCCCAGTGAGGGGGGTGCAATTGTGGAGTGGAGGGGAGAAGATGTCAAGTTGTAGGTGAGCCCTCACACCAGGTTGTACTCTTTGAGGTTGAGCTGCAGGATGGTGTCCTTGACGGCTGCAAACACAAAGCGGATGTTCTCAGTGTCCGTGGCACAGGTGAAGTGAGAGTAGATGATCTTGTCGCTGTCTGGGTTCAAGTCCACAAACATCTTGAGGATGAACTCCCGCGCTGCCTGAGCATCTCTCTGAGGACCTGGAGTTCGGAGGCAGAAATGGCCACATCTGTACATTAGGACTGTTTAAATTGACATATGTATTTTTGCAACATTGACCCGATTTAAATTTGTAACACATTTTTAATTTTCAAGACAACAAATGATTTAACGCTTTAATGATTTAAGTAGGCAAACATACACATTGATTAAAACAAGTGTCTTTTAGCTTGGAAAGCTAGGTGAATTAGGTCCAACTAGCCAATGAGTTGTTTCAACAGTGAACAAAAAAAAAAAAAAAAAATTTACACGTAACAAACAATAACACGTCCTCTCACCATCAAACTCTGGGAAATAGTCCACCAGGTGTGAGTAGGAGATCTTCTCCTCCAGCAAGTCCTTCTTGTTGAGGAAGAGAATGACGGAGGAGTTTTGAAACCATGGGTAGGTGATGATCGTCCTGAAGAGAGCTTTACTCTCCTCCATACGGTTCTGGTGAAACAGGACAGGACAGTGAAGGTCATGTAAGAAAAAAAAAAAAAAAAAAAAAGAAGTTCCCAGTCTTTATATTTCATTTCATTTGAACGGGAAGCTGTGGTTTCTTCCACCTACCTCGTTGTCCGACTCCACCAGGACCTGGTCGTACTCACTCAGTGCCACCAGGAACATAATTGAGGTGACGTTCTCAAAACAGTGAATCCACTTCCTCCTCTCTGACCTCTGACCTCCAACGTCCACCATTCTGTCGGTAGAAGTTAAATAATAAATAAGAGGGAAAAAGACACTGTAAATGATATTGTTTTTAAAATAGAGAGAATAAAATATATTTAAAAACTGCAAAAGCAGGAAAAAAGATGGGTAACGGTTGTGAACGACAGAAAAGGTTCATTATGCAGGTAACAGCAGTTCAAAGGCTCAAAACAAATCTAGTATCATACTTTTTTAGGACATTAAAATGTCTTTTTTACAACAAATAAACAATTTATCTAAAATATGCAGCTAGTTGACGATCACTGATTTAGGGCCTTTCTTGTACGATGTTACTGGAATTTGTCTTTATGGAATAAGATCTCTCTTTACTTACTTGAAATGTAGGGTCTTTGTTTTATTAGTTAAAAAGCGACTTTGTGTAAACGCTGTTCGTCTAAAGGTGGCACTTGTTTGGCACTGGGAGTAAGTATTTTCATCTCGTTGGTAAGCAACTGCAAGTTTTCAGACCAAGCGACAATGTGGTCCCTAAAAAAGGCAGCACACTTTTTACTAAGAAAGTGTGCCCCCTGTTGGTGGCCCAGTCCACTGTGGTCCGCAGAGACCTGGGGGCCAATATAGGCCCTGAAGGACCTTCTGCCAAAAATAACATTCCTTCACCAGAGAGGACGACCTCATTTCATCTGCCAGGCGTAGAGAGGAGCGCAGAAGAGGAGGAGGACGAGGAGCAGGAAGGAGAGGAGGTGACCCATTTACATACCAGAATGTAGGACTTAATGTTTGTTAGGGGGGATTTGTTAAATGTGGTACAACTGTTGTTGGTGATGGGGGTTGAAAAAAAAAGGCAGGGGACTGTGAGAAGAATAACATTAAAGGACTTGGATCGATTGTTACAAACAAGAAACAGAAGAGGTATTAAAAAAAGATCGACTTTGAGGACACACAAAAAAGTTCATGGAGTCAGGACATAAAACTAAGGGACAGAAGGGATAAAAGTGGCGTCTTTCTACCTGAAGATGATGCTCTGCAAGTCGAAGGGATACTCTATGATTCCTGTAGTGGGGATGCGCACCCTGAGCACATCCTGCTGCGTGGGAAGATAGTTGGGATCAGCGATACGGTCCAGATCGGAAAGATAGCTACAAGGCAGGCCGGTGGAGAAGGACAGAGAGAGATAAAGAGAGAGAGAGAGAGAACGAGAGGGAGAGAAAAACAAGACAGGAAAACAGTTACATAGAGCGTGACAGGCAATTACCGCACCCCCCCGCCATTCCAGGAAGACTGGATCAATCCTGTAGGAGAGCCTTTCTAGTGAAAAAGGCCAAATCTTAGAAAGAGGCCAGTGTTAGTGCATGTCACTGCTTTAATGTCTCTGCATTTGTAATGTCACACATGACCAAAGACAGTCACTGATCTACTTCAAAACTCCATTCTCCTCTCAGCAGACTAACTGCAGTGAGATCACGTAGTGTGTGGATCATGGTGCAGCGTGAAGTGTGATCAGTGACTTCAGCGGCAGATGCAGCAGGACGGGGAAAATCAGATGAAGACGGTTTGGACACGTTTGATGTCAAACATACTGCAGTATGAAACATGTTAACTGCAAATGCTGTAAAAAAAAAAAAAGATAAATATTCAAATAATCAGGACTGTCAGATCAAAATTGTACTCCAACGCATGTGCAACCTATATATGTAATACTGCCACTGTCCACTACTCATGGACACATACATCGTCATTTACGCGTTTTTTAAACAAAATATCAGTCAGGATTAATATCTATTCCAATTAAAAAGGATTATCTGAGATGACCTTTGATAACGGTTAAACACATTAACCTTGTGATTAATCACTGCAATGTTTGACAGCACTTATAATAATAAGAATCTCATCTCCTAGCATCTGCCCAAACACTACAGTGCTGCACATGTGGCCTGACCTGTTCAGGGGTCAGAGCAACCGGACAAAAAGTGATTTTCCATCAGGTTCACCGACAGCATCTCAGACTTACTGTTTGTATTAAATGAACTGACGGAGAGGTGCCTACTACCTTACACCTACTGTGTTAACACCCTGATGGTTATCAGTGGTTCCTGTCCTGACAGCCACTGAACTGCGGCCCTGGCTTTGTTGCTACCTGAAGATGACGCTCTCCAGGTCAAACGGGTATTATACCCGTTGTTTGGACACAAACCCTCAGCAGATCCTGCCGGGTGGAAACATATGGCTCTCTGGTCACACAGTCTGTATTGCTACGGTAACTGGAGGTTAACATCAACAGGATAGATAACACCAAAACATAGACATATATTTTACTTTAAGATTTCACTCCAGTACAAGCTGAAAAAAAAAAAAAAAGATCACGCTGCTGTTGTAGTACGCAAATTCCACAACCAGGGGGCAGTACACACGTCCACCCTGGCATGTATACAACCACAGAACAGGAAACAGACAAATTGCCCTCTGAATAAGACAGAACCACAATGGGTGCACACCTTCGCAATTTTCTCTGGTCTGTGGTTAAGTCGTATTTGTTGACATCCAGACACCAGTGCACGCCTCAGACTTGAAATTCAACTAGAGTCAACACATCGTTAACCCGAGAAGAAACACAGGAACAAAGTTGTTTGTTTGTTTTTTTTAACCGTAAAAGCAGTTTGAGCAGGTTATTAACCGAACTGTGGTTGAAATAAAGTCGAGGCTACGACTAGAGTCAAAACAATCGGATATAATGTTCTTCAAAAGGCAGCCATGTTACAGCCATGGCACTGGACTCTACTGCATTCACGTACGCTCCAAAGTTGAACGTCATTAAAAAACAAACAAACAAAACTTAACTGTTGCTATTACTTTTGTTTACCGTTACCCTAATTATGTTTGCACGCATCTATGTTTATACACGGATACAAGTTTGTCAGACTGAGCTGTGGGCTATGACGTCTGTTTGTCAAAGCAGCCCAACCCTTTTTGTCATTACAGTAAGGTTATGACAAAACATACATCGCAACGGGTCTTACAAACGTCTTGGTAAACCAATCCTGGTTTTCTGGCTTTTCTCTGATTGTTGCATTTCATTCAGTTTGACCCTACCCACATCACTACTTTAAGCCTAGCCTGTGATTTACAACACGCACAACACGTTTGAGTTGTCATCATCGACTGTCTGATTCGTTACCAAAATTGTACTCCACGCAGATAGCAAACAACCAGACATACAACCTTGTTCGTTTTTGCCTTTTCTTGTGGCTGCATGATTTCTCATACTGTCATGTATGAGGAGTATTTCCCCACCTACCAAATACCACAAGTTTAATACAGGAACATTGTATACATTTTATAAATCTGACAGAAGTCATTGCCACTTTTAGACAGAAAGACGTACTATTTAGTGGAGTCAGACAGCTGATATTCTCTGCGGCGGTCGTAGGCCTCCTGGATCCCCGGGTCGGACCACAGGCTTTTGATAGCTGCGATGTATGGATAGTCAAAATTGCTGATCTTCTCGATGTCCACTTCCTTCACAAGACTGGCGTTGGACTTAGGAGACAAAGATGCAGGTGTCAAATCAATCAGAACTGACCGGTCCTATAACCCAGTGTTTCCTAACCTTTTTTTTGAGCCATAACCCATGAACTACATTTACGAGGCGAAAAAGAGGCAGCAAAGTGAGACCAACAACGGAACATATTTTATATTATCAATGTATTATGTATTTTGTATTTAATTAAATCAATTAATAGTATGTATATTTCTGGGGGGCTGGAACCAATTAATTCTTCTTTAGTTATTTTTAATGTGGATAATGCATCAAGATACGATCAGATCAACATACGAGTTCCACTTTAGATGGAAATTATTGTAGAAATTAGTAAAAGTTACTTAAAATAGAAAATAAAATATAAATATATACTATATATAATATAAATAAAATAGAATGCCATTATTGTGTTTTCCTTTTAATACTGATTACTTCAGCCCTTTACTGCAAACTGCTGATAATAACATTTCTTCAGTACTGCCACTGTTCAAATAATACAGTAAGCGTAATGTTACATCTAGCCCTACCCGGTTCTGCTCATATTTGTATGGGATCTTGAGTGTCTCAGTGGCTCGGATCATGGCCTGCATGGACGTGAAGATGTTCTGGTAAACCAGCCGGATGAAGCCTCTCTTATCTTCATCTGAATATCCTGCTCCGTGGATGATCCTCATCTGTTTAATGAAGGTGCTCTTGCCACTTTCTCCCGTACCTGAAACACAACACAGAACCAGTGAGTTAGAGGCAGAGCAAAGACAAAACATGAAAAAAGCAACAAGGACGAGCCTGGACAAAACAACAATAGCAGTATACATGGGATGTTGAATATTTACCAAGTATATGAAGTATGTGTATGCAGACTTGCTCTTAACTAAATCAGATAGTGTTCAAAATGCCCCCGAGTTACAGTACTCAGGGGAAGAGTTGGTCATTTTAGTGGCCAAGCCAAATGATGCTTTTGGCATCATATGTGAGTTCTGACTTACGAAAATTGAGCTGCTGTATTCGCCCATCCAAGTTATGATCATTATAACGCGGATTAAGTACAGTCGTGACGAAGTGCTGAGGATCCGACTAGATGTCGGTGAAACGTGTGCTGACAGACTGAGTGGACATTGTTTCACTCCGTGGTCCGTCTCAAACTCTGCTTAGAAGACGCTTTGGTGCTTCGATTAAAGGAATAACATCTGCTACAGACGCATCACAGAGGTTGATCTCTTTAGCTAGCTGCTCAAACGAGGCAACACGAGAGAGAATGTTCTCTATTAAGAGATTACCCAGTGGTGTGAAGCGAATGTCGCGGGGAGCTCCTGGTCTGCGCTGTATGCAGCCAAGACTCGCTTTGGTGCGAAGAGGCCTTCCTTCCGCTCACATTCAGCATAGTGTTCGGGATGTTTTGATTTCAGGTGATAAATAAACCTGACTCGAAAAAATTCTTTGCCAATGCACCCCCTCTTAAAGTTTTAGCATTACATACAGTATTTTGCAAAGGGTATCTGTGGCTCTTTCTCAGATATATTGAAATACTTCCACACCGCAGACATGTTGTTGTAATTTTTATATATTATTATTATTATAATACTTTAGTTTTCTTCTAATTCAAACCTAAACTGCTGCCACAGAGTTTTTTCATGAATATCTACTGTGTACGAGAGTCTTGATGTGTCTCAGCTGATGTGCAGTTTGAGAAAGAGTGCGGTGGCCCATAGCCTAGAGGTAAAAGCATAGAAGGATTGCCAGTTTTAATCCCTGTGTGCAGTTGTGATGTGTTGTGTCAATTAAGGACCAAAAACTCTGAATATCTAAAGGAACAATTTTACTGAAACTGAAATAGTTAAACTAAAAGCCTGGAAGGGCTGACAAATTCAACCCGGGTGATGAACTTACAGTCAGACCAATGATGTGGTTGGAAAACCTCTATTCACAGATTAATAAATCTTTCTACAGGGATCCTTAGCTGGTGACGTCCAAGCTTCTTTGTGCAATGTCATGTGTGTTTGATGAAGAAAAAAAAAAAAAATTAAACATACCTAACAGGAAAACATAGTAAAGTTAAGTGGGCGGAAAGATACATGGTAATCTAATAAAGACAATTTACTCAATAAACCCAAACTGCCTGTACTGAAGGGTCAGAGCTGGGGTTATTGTCAGGAGGTTGCATTCCTTCAGTGGTTCTCCTTCCATGGCCTCCAGTCCATATCTGGATGCATGGATGCTGGAATATTCAAAGTGGTGTCAGGTTTCTGAGTTTGAACGTACAGAAGGGGTGGAAATCTGCTGAGTACCTCAAGATTCAATTAGATTATGAGGCCAACAATAACAATTACGAAAATATGATAAAAACACTACGGCAATGCACAAATGAATACACATTTTTGATAGTATAAAAAAAACAACTAAGTTAAAAATAAGCTAAATTGAAGTTAGCTCAAAAGTCAAAGTGTCCATAATGAAATTTCCCACTAAACAAAAAGTAAAATAAATGGAACATGTGAAATTCAATGGTGATTGACTGTCGATACTCATTCAAGTCATGTGACCACTGATCAGACAGCAGTGACTCCATGTGACCAAGTCGACTTGACATCTCTGTCCATAACGATTACACTGAAGCTAAAATTTAGACAATTGCCATGTGCTGACAAAAAATAAATCATATTGTTGCCCAGCTTTAAGGTACAGTGAGTCCTAAAAAATAAGTGCAAGAAAATGAATACCAGAGTTTTTTGGTTGCAGAGACCGTATCTCTCACTCCGCTGTTGAAACAGAAGGAGAATGCAGCACATCCATGACTACTGTAAAAACTGAAAAGCAAAGATGTAACTCATCTCACCACCACCTACATTCAAGGTTTTTGAAGAGCAGCCATATTTCTGTTACCATGACAACCCCATCCTCTGTCTCCCTCTCTTTTTTAGTTCCTGTGGGTTTTTTCTTTTTTCCATCGTTCTACTCCTGTCTCCCTTTCTCTTTTTTAAACCTCTCCAAACCTGGCCTGTTCACTCTCTCCAAGAAGACAATAAATATAACTGCCGAGGCCCTGAGGCTGGCACTGAGCTCTTTATCTTTCAGTTCACCACAAAAGAAGTGACTTGACTCCCCAGAGACTACAAGAGGGAAAAGAAAGTTTGGATAAGGCGAAGTGTCCAATAGTCAGTTTCTTTATACATGTGGAAAAGAGTCATTATATTACAGAGGCCCTCAACAGAAACATGACTAGTGTGTCACGGGGACAAATTCAAATAATGGAGAATAATCAAAACGACCACAAAAAGCTAGGACCCAGTTAGAGCAATAGGAAAAAAGGTAAAAGGTAGATTTGCTTCAGTTAGATCATGAAATGCTGAAAATGCTTTAAAAAAGTTAGTCTACAACTTGTAATACAAACATCAGATCTAACTAAAAGGAGGCAGCACCACATGTAAAAAAAAGTGTTAATTTTAAACTTGATAATGATATTTTTTTCTTTTGCTATGAAAATAAACTTAGCATATGGGAAACATGCAGCCAGAAAGTAGTGGAAATAGCACTATTTTATTGTAGTGTAACAAAATTGTTTTCTGGATACTGAACCAACATTAGAAAGAAAGGTTAGGCCAAAATTGCTGAATTTAAACAAAAGTAATTGAGAACTTGTCGTAATGGAGCAAAAAGCTGTCAAATATATTGGACAGAGACAGAAAAGGGCCACGTTTCTACTCTGGCTCAGGGCAATCGAACATTAATTGATTGATTAGTTTTCCAGTGTATTGCTCTACACACAGGAGTGTGTCCTCTGTACGGAGCGGCCGTGGTAGAATCCTGCAGAGAGGCCAGACTGCTGCAGTGGAGAGGATGGGCTTTATGTCTGATTTATTTCTCGTGACCCCTGTCACAAGATCTCCACTCCACTGTGTTCTCTTAACTGTCGTGTCGCTCTCGCTCTCCCCCCAGACAACACACTGCGAGCCTCTGTCTTCTCCCCCCTCCCCCTCCACAGATTGTACCATCACCAGCCACAACCACTTCCATGCCCCCACCAGCTCTTCCAGACAACATCTCACTCCTTCCTCTCATCCTAGCCCCCCACCCACTCCCCTATCAGCCTAGGCTCCCTCAGGCGAGATTTATGCCCCTCCATTCTCATCCCACTCTGTTGAGAATTTTGGATATTCATAACTAGACTTCATCCATTCTTTTTTGGTACCGACCTAGAAAAAGGAGGTCACCTTTTAATAGCTCGCACACTGCTTGGAGATTGATGGCACTTTTTGTTCTAGGTAGACACACAGGAGTCAGAGAGGAAAGGAAGGAAAAGCTCAGGTTGTGTCCAAATGTAACAGTGCACAGCACAGTGCGTAACTCCTAGACCAGAGCCGGTCTGCGTCAAGACAGGATTTTTTTTTTGTTTGTTAAAAATGAACTATAAAAAGTCAAGATTCCTGTCAAAATCTCTTTCTACTTCTTTTTTATGTTGCCATTTTGGGTTCACTTTTAGCTAAAATATGTAATAACAAGGTTAATGTCAAAATCTCTTTCTACTTCTTTTTTGTAATAACAAGGTTACGTTCAGTTAGGGGCAATTCAATCTCCTAATGTTTTCTTTTTACTTTTGGGTAAATACGGTAGTTATTTTTTGGCCAACTTAAAGTTGTCTCAAGGCAAAATAATTTCATTTGACTCTTTCTTATAATTATTCTGTTTTGCTATATTGGCTAAACACTTTCTGGGTAAACTTCTAGTTATGTATCTATAACTTTTTATTATTTTATACAATACTATTATTATATTACCATACTTTTATCGTTGTACATTTAAGACAAATTCCTAGACATCTCTGGCCAACTTGTAGACACCCCGAAGTTAAGTTGAAGCTTTCTTTTAAGTTATTCTTCCAGATTTATTAAGTCAACCTAAGAGTTCTCTTTAAACAAACTGAGGTTCTGCTGAATTGTCCTAGCGAGGTCAGATTACAAGCAGAAACACATCAGATGAAAATATTTTTCATTTAACTCAGACTGTACCTTAGAGACCTGGCCCCAAAATAATAATAAAACAATATATTACAAAAGGGAGTTTCAACAGTTAAAAAGCTTTTGTTTGAATCCCATGCCCATCGAAAACCAAACTTGCTCTGAACGAGCAGTTCAATGACAACGATATGTAAATAGTAACAGCGATTTGTCGTGGGTTGCCAGGTTAGCTTTCATAAGGTCTTTATATAACGCCAGTGATGTCAGCTCATGACACACCTGATGAACTTGACGCACTACAGTTTCAGTGCGGCAGTTTTTGTTGACATTGCCGCACCGTCAGTATTATCAGAGCAGATCTGTGCCTGTACACACGCTCACCTGTGTGTGTGTCCTTTTTTGCTTCCAAACACATTCACAAAAAGGATCTAAAAGTTGACGTTTCGACGATGTTCTGGTTTGTGTACGGACATCGCTTTGTGAATAGGTTCTGCCAACTCTTTGATGTTGATTAATCAAGTTATTTTGAGTTAGTCAAATGTGGGCCACAGACCAAAATTCTTGATATAAATGCTTGAATGGTTGAACTGCTCATGAACTCTGTCCTCTCAGCCTCTGAATGACAATCCAGTGTGAGCAGAGAAAAACATTTGCATGGATGTGGCAGGGATAAAAAGGTAAATGTCCAACGGCTCTACATGGCTTACGGGCCAGAATGAGGTTTAAAATTTGACCGGCAGGCCACTTTAGTCATGGTTGG